TTCCAAGAATTTCATGATGATAATAATTTGGCAATGAATAAATAATTTTTTTTTGTAATAATTTTAATTGTTCACCGTTTTTCATTTGAATTTTTTTTCTTTGTTGTTGTCGAAATTCATAACGAAAAACAACAACAACAACAACAACAACATTCAATATCGTAGATTACAAACTAATCATGCTAATGTCAGCTTTAATATTACACAAACACGGTAGACATTGAAATGGTAGACAAAAACAAGAAAAAAAATCTCAAATTACCTCTGTTTGTATAATAATCCGTTTTTTGCATGCACTTCATGCAATCAAGATAATCGACACACACACACACACACACAACCAACCAACCAACCGACCAATCAATCAAGCAAACAAGTAAAATCTAGAGAGATGAAGAGAGAAAATTAAAGATTTTTGAATTATGAGACATACAACGAAAAACGAAATAAACGAAAAAATTGGCCAACGACAACAAGTACCTGTGCATAATAAAAATTTTTCTGTTCTGTTCTGTGTGTGTGTGTGTGTGTGTGTGTGTTATTGTCGTCGGCGTTGTCATCACCATCATTTTCGTTTATTCTCAACTCGAAAGAAAAAAAAGTTTTCAGAAACAAAACAAAAAAATTCCTGGGAAAAACTCTTATTCTGATCTTTCTATTTTTTTTTCGCTTTAGGGCCTAAAGTTTAGGCATCATGACAATCATACGAAGAGAAAAAAAAAATGGAAAACTTTTCTGTTTTCCATTCAAATTCATATTCAATAAGCCGGAAAAAATAATGTGTTTATTTAATACACAATGAATAAATAAATATATATCAGTAGGGTATGTCATGAATATATTATGGGGAATTTTTTTTTTTTTTCGTGAATCAAAAAAAAAAAAAAAATTTTTGATTAAGATGGAAAAAGATGGAAAAAAAAGAACAAAACAAAACAAAACGAAACAAAATCAACTTTTATATTTCCAACAAATTTACAAACCACTTTAATTGAATTGATTAAATTATTACAATATACATATGTGTATTTGAATTGAATGAATTCATGGAATGTAGAATAATAGCAGAATTTTATTTTATTAAAATTCACCAAACACACACACACACACACACATGGTGTTTTGAATCATCATATATATATAATAGAATTATGATTATTACTATTTCCATGAATGATCCATGGAATTTTTTTTTTCATTGAAATTTTTTGAAATCATCCCAAATTCTCCAACATCCATCCATGTCCAATATGGTTGATGGTGAATTGCAGATGAACAACAACAACAACAAAAAAATGGAAATTTACAATTCACAATTCTATAAATTGAATCAAATTTAAAAAAAGAAAAAGAGAGAGAGAGAGAGATGGAGAAAGAAAATTTTGTTTTATTCTGAATAACTTTTTTTTCCTTTTGGTTTTTTTTTCTCGTTTTGTTTTGTTTTGTTTTCACAGTTGTTGTTGTTATCGTTTTCAATAAGATATTGCTTTTTCTTACGAAAACATTCGAATTGAGCCTTGAGAAACGAACGAACGAAAAAAAAAACAAATTAAGAGAAAAAAAAACCAAAAAGCATGAAACAACATATAACATCAATCACATGACATATTTAAAACATTTGGATTTTGATTTTCATGTTTTTTTTTGCTCTGGTTGATCGTTGTTGATGTTGATGATGAGTTATGTAGTAGTAATAATAATGGACTTGATTTTTTTTTTTGTTGTTGGTACACAATTCAATCTGGAAATTCAATAGAAAAAAAAATCCAAACTATCATCATCATTTGTGTGAATGAGAGAATAACGTTGTTTCTGGTTGTTTATCATCATCATCATCATCAACTATTAACTAACACTACCAAGACAACCAAGACAAACAAACAAACAAAATGGAAATATAAATGTGTTAATATGGCACATACAGTGGAAATAAAATAAAAAAAAGGAAATTCTGCTTGTTGTTGTTGTTGTTGTTGTTGTTGAATATTCCATATACAAACATTTAATCATTTCTCATTTTGATTTGATTTGTTTCAAAATAATTTGATTTGTAAAAACATTGTCGTCTTTATTTTATTTTTTTTTTCGTTACATATTAATCTAATGGGATGTGTTTAACAACAACAACAAAAGCAACAACAACAACTTCATTGTCCAATGATGAAAAAATTAGGAAAAATAGAATATCGTGTAATGAAACGAATAAAAAAAAAATTGACTGACCAAATTGATATATTTGAATTTTTTTTTCTAACCATCAATTGATGTGTACAAGAACAAGACAATGTTTTGAGCAATGTAACAATACATACATAGACTCAAACATAATCATCGATTAATCGATCGATTGATTGATTGATCCAATCAATCTCAATGTGTCATTGAAGAAAGAAGGAAAAAAACCCAGTAAAAGATATAAATATTTTAATGTAAACACTTTGCATGGCGATATTTTATGTCATGAATGGTTTGGCTATAGCAAGAGAAAATTGGCAGTGAGGAAATAAGGTGAAAAGGAAAAAAAATTTGACATACATTCCAAATGCATACACACACACACACACACACACACACACGATGCTTACACATTGACATTTGACCCATTGGATCAGAAATTTTTTTTTTCTTTAAAATAAAATTGTGTAAAATTTAACAACAACAAAATTTCATACCTTTTTCATCGAATATAAAAAAAACAGACAATTTTCATTTATAAACATGCTATATAAAACATCATCATCATCAGCATTCAACCAACGATGCACGAGATGCACGATTGTTTATCATTTTTGAATTAAAAAAATTTTAAATTAAAATTTAAATTGGCCATGATGAAAATGAATCATTAGATTCATTGACGATGAAAAAAAATAATTGATGATGATGAATGATCGATTTGAAGCGAATCAATGATGATGATGATGATGATGGAAAAGGATGTTTCGATTAACGATTATACGAACAAACAAACAAACAAACGAATGATGATAATTTGATTGGATTTGGATTGATTTGAATCACAAATGAGCAGTATTATTTTATTTTACAATCATCAAATTGTATACAATAAACATCATCATAGCCAAAAAAAAAATCAACATATATATGAATTTAACTCTTTAGTTACCAAATCATCATCCATGGATGTATTGTAAATGGGTAGATGAAAAAAAAGGGGAAATATGCCGATAGATATGCACTTCAAGAAATACTGGATGTGTGTGTGTGTGTGTGTGTGGATGGAGAAAGAGTCAGCAAAAAGAAAAAAAAAGCACTAAGAGATGATGATGTTGTATAGAAACAGACAACGCAAAAAAATGTTATGTATTTAAAAACAGATAGAGAGAGAGAGAGAGAGAGAGAGAGAGAAAAGAGCCGATGAAATGATGACGATTACAATGGCGATGAAGAGAAAAAAAAATAATCAAAATAATCCATCGGATATAATTTGAAATCAAAGAAGAAAAAAAAGGGTTAAAAACATTATTGTCAACTACATGGCTGCAGTTGTATTTTGATTTTGATCCAATCAATCATCCATATAATAATCATCTGTTTGCTGTTGTTGAACATGTACCATTATGGCCATCATTATTTCCCGGGTGACAAACACCTACACATAGATTGATGAGAAAAAAAAAATTTTGTTTTCTCCAACTTCACCATGGAAAAATGTACTGGATGTGAAAAACAACAACAACAACAACAACGACAACATGAATATTTGACATTTATTTCCAAAAAAATTTCGCTGAATTTAAAAAAAAAATTTGACAATCCAAAATTTTCAGCATTTACATACATCATCAATCAATCAATCAATCAATCATTGGTGTTTGACATTGACACACACACACATATATATTTATTATAATTTTCATGTGTTTCGATGACAAACAGGTAATACCGATCATCATCTGTTAAACAGAAAAAACTCTGTACGGACAGGTACGAAAATCAGATATGAATAAATATCACGACCATTCTGCATAAATTCTTGTTGTAAACCAGAAAAAAAACATGACATTAAATTCGAATTAAAATTTTTTTTTCCGGTATTTTTTCTCTTGAACCACCACCCTTCTTCACTTTATTGACATTTTTTTTGATGATAATAATAATAATAATAATAATAATAATAATTAATTAGGTCAATGACCATTATGGTCAATTTTTGTAGCATCACATCATACACATCGATAAGAACTATCTGGCCAACGAATGTTCAATCTTTCAAGCCGAAATATATTTTTTGGAAACAGAATTGTTTGCAATGGCAATCATCAATGAAATAATATAACCAGACACACATAAATCTCACATTATGTACTGAGAATCAATCAATCGATTAATTTGAAAATTTTTCGATAACAATTTTCAATTTAATGATCAATATATAATTATTATGATTATGATTATGATTATATTGCTTAGCCGATAATAACAATCATTATTATTTGTAATTATATTACCAATATTTAAATATCTCACAATAATCAATCAATCAATCAGAAAAAAAAGAATGACAGCAACAACAACAACAACAATAACTACCGAATACAAAAATAAATGTCTTTCCTGTTTTGCATATACACACTATAAATGGAAAACAAACACACAAATCAACGTTATTCGCATTCAAATCGATAGAAAACGGTCGAAAAAAATACGTAGGCATCAATCTCAATCAGTCATATCAAATACAAGTTTATAAATGGATCACGTTGACGCATCTAGGTGATGATAATAATCATTGGCTGGAAAAAAAAGTTGTTTTTTCTTTTGTTCCTGATTGATATTGATATACACGATTGATTTTCTCTTCATCGGTTATGAGACGAAAAAAAAAAAAATTTTTTTGAAAACAAAGACAAAGTTGCCATCTAGTGATGGTGAATGGAGAGAAAAAAAGCTCGAATTTTTTTTTCCACACCATTTCGTTTGTTGTTGTTGTTGTTGTGGTGATGGTTTGATGGGTTTGACTCACTTGCCCAGTGTAACCAGAGTTGTCATTGTTGTTGTCGTGGCTGACAACAGTTCTATTCATCAATGGTTTTTTTTTTGTTTTTTATTTTTTTGTTTTCTATAATTCATTCCATCATTATTATCGATTAATTAATTTAACAAAGCATAATGGACTGATAATATAATCAACATAATTCTCAATTAATCAGTATTGATAATCAACGAACGAACGAACGAAAAAAAAAAATGTCAACCAAAAATAAATTAACAAATGACAATGATATTATTGGCAATGATGAAATTCCATTAGCCGATGGTGATGATACCATTGAGGTAACCGATATGGATATGATGAAATTAAATTTAGCCAATATAACTGGAAAAGAAAAATTGGAACAACTTCAACAACAACAACAACAACAACAACGAAGAAGAAATTCTGATGTAACAAATCTGGCAAGACCTGAATCACCATCTGGTACAATACGTATTCATCATCAACAACAACCAAATTGTGAGATATGGATTTGCTTTTGATTCATTTTTTTTTTTTGATAATTTTTTCTCTTTTCACTGTATAGCATTGGATATAAATCATGAATTAAATCCAGATGAAATGGAAGAAAAAGAACGTATGATACAACAAGTATTGGAATTACAAAACACATTGGATGGTAATAGTGATTATTAATTTTTTTTTTCTAATTAATGTCTAATTTTTCTTTCTATTTATTATCATCCACAGATTTATCACTACGTGCTGAAAGTGTTAAAGAAGAAAATTTAAAATTAAAATCTGAAAATCAAGTTCTAGGACAATATATTGAAAATTTAGTTTCAGCATCATCGGTATTTCAATCAACATCACCGAAACAACGTTCTGGTGGTAAAAATAACAACAATAACAATAACAATTTATCAATGAAAACCTGAAATGTAAATGAAAAACAACAACAACAACTACAACAACAAATAAATAAATTTCAGTTCAAATCAACAAATATTCAAGAATCCATTCGGAGAATTTATTTGATATTTAAATTGCATAATTTTTGTCGCTGTAAAACGAAAACGAAACATGAAAATAAAAAAATCTTTTCCAATCGATTTTTTTTCCATACACATATATATTTGCTACGCTCAATCGATGATGATGATGATGATGATGATGACACACAATGATCACAAAAATACAATGAATGAATTGAATGGATTTGTTGTTGTTGTTGTTGGAAAATTAAACCATAAATATCAGCAAAAAAAAAACATTGTCAAAAATTGCGAAAAAAAAGAAGAAAAACATTGTCGTGTGTGTGTGTGTATGCCATGGTATTTTACATTTATTCAGTAGATTTTTTTTTTTTTTTTTATTTACTTTGCGTAATCATTTTGTGGAGAAAAAAAAACGAAAATCCAAGCGCATTCAACAACCGTGTTATATAATAATCATGGTGATGGTGATGGTGGTGATTCCATTTTGGAGACAATTATTATTTGGTCTTCCAATTATTATTATATCATCATCATCGTCGTCGTCATCGTCGTTTATTTTTTGCGCAATGTTTTTTTTTCCTTCATGGATCATCATCATTTTACGATGCAAAAACATCAAGGGAGAGAGAGAGAGTGTGTGTGTAATCAAAGTAAAGATTTTTCGTTTTGTTTTGTTTTGTTTTCATTTGAATAAAAAAATCACTAATCTGCATTGAATTGCATTGTTTGTTTGTTTTTTTTTTTTTATTGCAGTAGACGACAAATTTTGATGATCTAATTATTTTACAATGTAATTAGACCATATTCAGATGATTGTATTCTGTTGTATTTTTTGTTTCATTTCTAACCCTGGTTTTTGTTTTTCTCATAAATATCCAGTCAATGTGAGGATAGAGATTCGCGTTCAATTTTTTTGATTTTCAATCAATCAATCAATTTAAATATTGAAAAAGAAATTCAGAATCAATTTCGATATCAGCAACAAGCAACAATCAAGAAGAAAAAAAACAGTAAATATTTCTCAACATATAAAAAAAAAATAAACACACAAATCACATTTGATCAGAACGAAAAAAAAAATCAAAAGATGGATTTGAAAATTGATTCAAAATTATCCACGTCCATTTCAATTCCATTCCATTCCATTGAATGATGATGAAGATGATGTGACACAATTCAATATGAATCAATCAAATTATTGTCCATCATCATCATCATCATCATCGTCAAATCAATCAAATCAAATTATCATAAACACACACACACACACAAACAAACAGACACAATAAATGTCTGTTTTCATAGAATTCAAAATTAAAATTTCAAGGTTCAACTCACATACAAATATATTTCCCCTTTTTCTTCTTTTTCATCTTTTTTATTCACTAAATTCTTTTTTACCTATTTGGATCAATCCAATTTCGATTTTTTTTCATTCGTTCACATCATTCGTCATGATGATGATGATGATGATGATAAAGGTCCATAATCATCGTCATCATCTTTTTCTTTTTTTTTGAGGTCATTAAAATTAGAGATTATTACATATCGAAGATTTCAAGTATCAGATTTATATTTTTTTTTACAAATAATAAAAAAAATGATGATGATGATGATAATGACAATGAACCAACCAAAAAAAAAAGTAGAAAAGAAAAACGATCATCAATTGGACATGGACAAATCTATCTCATCTCTATATTAGTTTGATGAGAAACATACACGCACACGCACACACAAATTGCAACAAAATTTTTCTTTTTTATCCAAACAAACAAACAAACGAAGAAAATATATCTTCAGTAGTTTGTTTTTAAAGAGTTGAAAGTGAGATAGATAGATGGACATAACGAAAGAGAGAGAGAGAATGAAGAAAATTTCAAAATAAAGTAACAATTATTGCTGCTGTTGTTGTTGTTGTCCATTCAATCTTTGGATTATCATCATCATCATCATCATCATCGTTATTATGTTTGTGAATGAACAAATGATGATGATGATGATGATGATCGAAAATAAAAGCCAAAGAAAAAAATCGATGATTATTTCATTGTCAAGTCTGTTTTCGTTTTCGTTTTCGTTTTGTGATTGAGACACACACACACACACATGTTTTTTTTCATTCGTTTTTTTTTGTTTTGTTTATCATCATCGATTGTGAAAGAATTTTCTTTCTCTCTCTCTCTTTCTTCGTTTTTTTTCTTTGCATGATTCACGCTGTTAAAATTTAAATCATTCATTTAGTTTTGTTCATCTGGTCATGATGAATTTAAATAATAAAAAAAAAGGTTTTTTTTCTTTGAATCGAGAATTTTAATCGAAAAAAAGAGTGAGAGAATTGGAAAAAAAAGGAAGAATAAGTTTTTTTTGTGTGTGTGTATCTATATAATAAATTATTTAAATTTCAAATTTCATTTTTTTTTTTTTTTTGATTTTGATTTTGTTGTTGTTGTTGTTGTTGTCGTTTCTTCAGGATATTGGATTTTTGTTTGTTTTCATATTATTATTTTTCTGTTGTTCATGACGTAATAAACCTAAACCAGCAAAATTATTGATTGCACCTAAACCACCACCGAGACCCAATAAATTTGTTGCTGCTGCTGGTGCTGCAACGCCTGTTGGCATTGGCAATGGTAAACGAAGTGGTAATGGCATCGTAACAGGTACTGGTGCTGGTATTGGTAATGGAAGCGGAATTCTCAATGGTACTGGTGTCGGTATGAATTGTGGTACTGGAAGTGGAAGATCAATCGGTGTTGCAACTGGTGTTGGAACAGGTGCTGGAAGTGGTAATCTTATTGGTGTTGGTACTGGTATAACTTGTGGTGCTGGAATCGGCAATCGTAATGGCAATGGCAATGGAATTGTTGATAGAATTGGTCTTGGAATTGGTAACGGTAACGGCAATGGTAATGGAAATGGAACTGGTGGTGATACTGGTAATGGTAATGGTAATGGAAGTGCACGTAAACCATTGGCTGAATTATCTGCAAGACCATTCATTGGATTTTGTGCATTTGCCAACAATACCATACAGGATATTAATGTCAATTTCAAAATTTGAAACATTTTTGTTGTTGTTGTTGTGGCCGTCGTTGTTGTTCAATTATCAGAATAAACAAAGAATCAATCAATGATTTTTTTAAAATTTGATCCTCATACATTGGCTTTATATACGAAAACGAAAAAAAAAAAATTTTTGGTAAAACCAAAATATGATTCGAGATGCATAAAAAATATCGCCAATAAATTGTCCAGAATATTTATTGATCACGTACAAAAATTCGTGCTCGTATTGGTCAACATTTTAATTATATTAACACACAAATGTTAATTGTTTCTAGTGTGTGTGTGTTTGTGTTGCAATTTGTCAGGAAAAATGTTATTTTTAAACATTCTATAATCTAATCACAAATTTGATTTGGTAATTTGAATTTGAAATTTTTTTTTTTTTGCCATTCTGGGAATTTTACCGGGAATTTTTCCATTTCGTTTGTTGTTCATTTTCATTTTCATTTTCTTACGAAAAAAAAAATTGATATGATTAAGGGTTATTATCATGATGATTCATATGATGGAAGAAAAAATTTTTTTTGTTCTTCCCTTTTTTTACTTTTATTATTAAAATTTTGACCGATTAAAACCGATTTGTCATCATCATATCGTTTTGGTTTTATGGTGATGGTGGTTGTTTTTCATTTCGTTTAGATTTAAAAATTAAACAAACACAAAATCAGCATAAAAACTGACTAACCGACCGACAGACAGACAGACAGACAGATAGATAGACCAATTTGATGAAAAAAAAACGCTACACTTCAATTTGTTTTTCTCTTGATGCTTTACTACTATGTGTTGGTTTGTGAACAAAAACGATATTATTATCATGGCAAATCCTTCAAATGAAATGGCCGTTTATCCACCATTTTCGAATGGAATAATTATCACTTTGGATGATAATGATAATGATAATGAGTCAGTTATTTTTACCGAAAATTTCAATGATGGTACAGTATTCTGGGGTGTGATCACTGATGAAGAAGAATCTATCATGAATTATGCCGATTCTAATGATAGTGATGCAGATCAATCAGGTTTGAATGATGATTGATTTAATTTGAATTTTGATTTTAAATTTTGTTTTTATCATTTTTACAGTAATTTTGATTAAAAACGATGATGATGATGATGGTGATAACAATGAATTGGAAATGAAAACGAATCATGAATCAACAACAATGTTGCAGATTGATCAACATAATTCATCAGCATCGACATCTGTAGTGGATATTGAAATAAAATCATCATCATCATCAATAGTGGAAAAACAACCAATTCAAAAATCAGCAACAACAACAACAACAACAACATTGACAAAATTCGATTCATTAATATCGGACAGATCGAATGAAGAAAATCATCCACAACAACAAGAGAACATTGAAAATGAATTTAATGAAGAAGAAAAAGATCAATTAGAATGTGATCTTCAGATTTATTGTCCTCGACCATCATTATCAACAAGAAAAAATTGTCGTAATAGTTTCAATTATCTTAAAAGAAAACATTGTCTAAATTTATTGATAAATAACCGTCGTAATAGTATCGCTAATAAACAACAACAACAACAGCAACAACAACAACAAACTAATAAAATTGATCAATCAACACCAAATAATAATGGCAATGGTAATGGACAAATGACTAGAAAATATATTCTTACTGGTTGCCAACGAAAACACATACAATATCAAAATCGTCGCCGTTCAATAAAATTTGGTTCAAAACGTCCAATGAAACGTGTACCACCTACACCTAAATGGGCCATAGCAAATCTAATCTCTAGTACGCCAATAATGAGAATGCATGAATAATTGAACAACAGTGGTAGTTCATCATATATCTTTATATGTTTTTTTTTCCAATTCACAATGACAAATATGGAAACATGAAATGAATGAATAAATAAACTAATGAATCGATGAATGCAGATGTTTTTGAATTCAATCAATCAAATCAATTTTATTTAAAATGAAATGCATAATTTCCTGGAAAAAATAAAAACAAAACAAAAATCAATCCGGAATGGGCGGATTGATCCATCAACCACCACCACCACCACCACCACCATCAATTGTTGATGAGCGTGAATATGATGATGATGATGAAAAAAACCACAATATAATCGATTTTGAAATGAAATGAACAAGACAACGAAAAAAAAAAATTTTTTTTTCCTTTTCCATTTCATTACAATTTCAATTTTCATTGAAATTTTTAGGAATTGAGAATTTTTTGTTTTGTTTTTTGTTTACTTCTTTCCTCCATCATCTTTTTTTTTCCTTTCGAATCACTTGTGAATTGATTGTTTTAGATTTGAAAATCGAAAAAAATGCTCATCATCCATTCTATTTCATTTCATTCATCCATGATGACCATTCGTTTTTTTTTGTGTGTGTTTGAAACAAAACTATTGATGATTTTATGGCTGATTGATTTCAATGATGATGATGATGATGATGTTCAATTTGATTCGATTCGATTCGATTGAAATGATTTTTCTTCTTCTTCCTTTGATAATAATGGTGTGTGTGTGTGTGTGTGTGTGCGTATATGGTGAAAATGGTTTTCGGATATTTTGTTTGTTTGAATTGAATAAGAGAAAAAAAATAGTGAAAACAAAGCCGGACAACTGATTGAATTGAATGTCTGTTTGTGTGTGTGTGTGTGTGTGTGTGTGTGTACAATGTGTCATCATCATCAAAATTGTCGATGATGATTATCAATCAATACACACACATCGAAATTGTTTATTGATTGATTTTTGAGAAAGAAAAAAATTTTTTTTTTCATTTTTTTCATTTTTTTTCATTTTGAATAGAAAATCAAAATTATCATCAACAACAAATGGAAAAAAAATGAAAAAATATGAAATTCCGAACTACTACATAAGTGCAAGGAAAAATGAAAATGAATGATAAATAATCAATTCCGGAAGTTCAATCAAACACACACACACACACACACATTCTGAACAACAGATAATCAGACATCACATTTTTTTTGTCCATTTTCTAATATATATGATCGCATACACACACACACATGTGTAATCAAATTTTTTCAATCTTTATTTCTTGGCAATTTCCAAAAAATTTTTTTTTTCACGTAAAAATTTTCCATTCTCTCCCAGATAGAGTAAAAAAAAAAAAATAATTCCATCAATACTGGGTGTGTTCGGACATTCCAGACCAATTCACTATAATCCAGTATTTTCCATTTTTTTTTACCTGAATAATTGATTCAAACAAACAAACAGACAAAAAAAAAAAGTTTACCGACCACCAGAGAAAAAAAAAATTAAAATCACATTGGTCATGATGACCGGTTATTACTACTTGTTGCTGTTGTCCATATTTGTTCAAAAATTTTCCTTTTTTCCCCCCTCCCCTTTGTTTGTTCACATGATGAGAATATTTCTGTATTTGACATCAATTTCATCAAATGGTATGGAGAAAAAAAAAAAAAAATATATTTCAATAAAATGTATAACAGACGGACAAATGAAATGAAATTTCATATTAAAAAAAAAAATTTCCGGAAAAATCCGTTTCCCATGTCATCATTATTATCATTCTACTATATTATAATCATGTATGCTGTGTTTATCTCCACTTATACACACACACACACACACACACACACACACACATAGAAATGTTTACAATTTAAATTCAGATTCTTTCTTTTTCCTGATCTACATCGTTTTGATACTTTGTAACAAGAGATTATAAATTACCGTATCAATTAAAATTTGAATATGATGATGAGAACCAAATGGTGATATATATTATCATCGTATCATTGTTATTCTCAATTTGTATTTCATAACAATCAAATTGCAAAAATTGTTCAAAAAATGACAAAATAAAAAAAGCCAAACAATCGATCCTTGATTATTGAATTGTTTCATTGTTTTTTTTTATTCAATCATTATTTAATTAATTAATTAATCAATCATCATCGATTATATGATGATGATGATGATTACTTAATAGTTTTTTTTCTCCTCCAAAAATAATACGATATGATTGCTGTAAAGTGTTAAAATTGTTTGTGCATAAATTGAAATTAAAATGTTGACAAACAAACAAAAAAAATGAGCAAGAAAAGATGATAATTTTTTTTCAATAACTAATAAATAATCAATCTAAGGTCATATATTGGAAATTGAAAATTCCAAATTCCAATATTGACATTTATCACCATCGCCAAGTTCATCATCATCATCATCATCATTGGTAATTATTGCATGTAGTAACACCGTGAACACACACACACACACACACACACAGAGTAAAAAAATGATGATAATCATATTTTGATTGATTGATTTTGAATCAAACAAAAAAAAAGAAATATAAAAGTTTCAATTAATGAAAAATTCCGTTTTTTTTTGCTCTGTTTTTCTTGAATAATGATGATGATGATGATGATGAATTCAATTCGAATCAAATCGAATCGAGTCGAGTCTAGTCGAATCGAATTGAATCTTAAATCTTTCTTTCCATATCTGAATAGTAATAGAGTGAACATGGTGCAAAAAAAAATTATCCGATATATGATGTTGATGATGATGATGATGATGATCTACAAAAAAAAATGGTAATGATAATGATGATTGAAAATCGAACAACAACAACAACAAGTTGTTCGATGATCCATCTCACTGATATATCCAATTCATCATCATCATCATCATTGAGTATTTTTGTTGTTGTTGTTGTTGTTGTTCATATTCAATCATTCATCAAAATTGAGATGATTATGACAATGTGGATGATGATGATGATGATGAATAAAAATTGTATCCGGATCAAAAATTCAATCTCAGATCATCATTCAATTTTTTTTTTCGATGAATTCATTTTCGTTTTGTTTCCACTTGATTCATTCACTCAATATCTGTGTATTTATTGATCGGATACAAGTGATTTCTTGTATATTTTCTTATAATCTTTAGATTGTGATGATGATGATGATGATCGAATTCAAACTAAATTTTTGTTTGCTCGTTCCTTTCATTCGTTTTTTTTTTTTTTTTATTCAAATCAAATCGATTTTGTCTGTGTCTGTGTATGTC